AGATGATGCTGGATGTGAGATGAGGTGGCTCTGGATATAGTCCACCCCCGATTTGTGCTGTGCACCAGCTTTTAAGTGAATGCTCTGGTTACCTGTATGTCTTCCCAGATATTGATTGTATTCATTGACGTAACAGCACAAAGCTATACGTAAAGCTGGAACCTGTAGGATTTGCCTGGGTCCGAGGGCACTGCTTAGTGTTAGAAACTGCTTCTCAGCATAATGTATATCTTTTTTTTTTCATTAAATAAGGATGATGCCTTTTCCAAAATGTCATCTATGACTATTCTTTTTGTTCTCTTATATAAAATTCCCTGGTAAGTTCAACCTTTCATTAAAGTTAACCTTTTTATCTACCACTAGTCATAGTTAAAATTCTTAATTGCAGCTTGCAGACCAAAGTGGTGAGCTTCAACATGAATAAAAACTCTTGCAAGAGTGGAACTGTGGTTGCTTATTTGTATTATAAACCATAATCCCTGGTGAGAAGGGAGATTATCCACTAGACACTATTTAAATTCATAAATCAGGTGTTTTTAGACGCTTATTTGCCTAACGAGGCAGCAAAGCTGTTTGTGAGCATCATGTGAAAGTCAGTAGGGATGAAAATGTTGTGAATCAGGTCACTTAGTCACTGGCAGCGGGGAGGAAGGAAACACATAGGACGCAGGTGACACGAGAGGTCACACGAAGGAAGGCCGGGAGCTCCTACAGGCCAGAGCTCTGGGCAGTGAGAGACCAGCACTGCTCAAACGTCTGGGGCAAAAGTTTTTGCACTGAAGAAACAACTTTGTTGCTCGCTCGAAAACAGGCAGAAGATACAGCTTGGCCTTGCGGATCTCAGTGAGCTGGACCCTAGGGCTGACCCGAACATCCAGTCCGGTTCCTGTGCTCGGTGTTTTCTCTCCAAAACCCTTTCCAAATCATTTGCGTGGCGTTATCTTGATTCCTAAGATAAGGTTTGGTAGTTGCTTTTTTGCTTTTTTTTTTTTTTTAATGATTTGAGGTCTGCAGATGAAAGCTGCTTGTGTGAGGGGGGGCCATTTATTAAAGCAATGGGTGTGTTTTCAGGAACTCACGGGTAACTGATATCAGTGCAGGTAAATTTTCCATGGTGTCTTTCAGCACATGGGAACAAGTAAATGTATCACTAATTTTGTCAATCCCTGAATATAATAGAGCTGATAACTCTCTTTAATATGCTGAAGTTCTAATAAGTATAAAAATACTTTCTTAATAGAAAAGAAAAAGTCATTTTTTATTCCCTTTAAAAGTGGTGATGATAAGAAAATAATGAATAATTTTGCATTTGAATCACAGAAAACTATTAAAATAAGAACTGGGGAAGGGAGAGGAAACCTGTGTGAAGTCCAGTAATGTCAGGTGAGGAGTGACCCTTCCATCTTGCTCTGCATACCTTTGCCTCTCTTGTTCTCTTCAACCAGCAAATTTTTTGCTGTAATAACGTTTCCTGCTCGTAGCAGCCTAAGAACTGCTATTCGCACAGTAAACACATTGCACGTGCTCAGACTTGAAAATCCACGGCCATTTATATGACTGCTCCTCTGACATGAAAATATGCAGCAAAAGTGCTTAAAACTTGTCAGGAACTAGTCTGTACTTCATGACAAGGGTGTCGTCTTTACTGGTTGGGTTTCCTTTGCAATCACAGTGATTGTGTAACGTTTGCTTTAAAGTAGAGCTGTCTGACTCAGCCTTCATTTTGTCTTGGACCCAACCTCCAGGTAGCCCTGGGGCGTTTATCGTATTTGGACAAAATCTGGATGCAGAGCGTGTGGTCTGCCCCGTGCTGAAGCCTCTGCTTGGTTGTGGCCTTCGGGCTGCAGGTTCCAGCACCCGTAGGTGCCCTGCATCAGAGGTGCTGGAGCCTCTCGCAGTCTAAACGTGTCGTTTCCTGAGCTCAGCTGTGGAGCCAAAGAGGCTCCCTGAGCCTCTGCAGGGCTCCCAAAAAGGAATGCTACGGCCTTAAGAGTTACTCTCTCATTTATTTTATGGCTACAAGATGCTATTAGGATCCTCTTGATGAACCTGCGGTTTATGTATGTGCTCCCATGGGCAGCAGGACGTCTCTCGCGATTCCTGTGGCGTTTAAAGCGCTGCCCTCCTGCGGCCGAGCTCGGAGGGGCAGGAGGGCTGGCCAGGCCGTGCCCACACGCACCGGCTGTCAGCAGAGCCGGGAGTCCTGCCCGGAAAGGTGATCTTCAGTCAGGTAACCCTTCTCTGAAGTGACTAGGTCCTGTATGAAGGGCAGAATGGGCTTTCATTACTCTCATGGCCCGTTCGCATTAGATGGGAGCTCGTTGTGGCCGCTGAGGTAAATATTGCATCAGCCGTGAATCCCGGCGCATGCCAGTGATAATAGGAGCCCTTCTTCTGCTCCTGCTGATGCTGGGCAGTTTCAGGCCTCTCTAGAGTTTTGGAAGTGACTTTTCCTGCTCAGAATTCCACTCAAGCAGCCCTAGAAGTGCCGCAGAAGACACTGTGCTCCGTGTCTCTATCCGTGATGGGGCTGCCATCGCTGACGGCAGTGGGTGACTGGCTAGAGCTGTACACATAGTGTAAAGGCTGGAAATATGTCCGTGCTTAGAGGCGTAAGGCTTCGGAGGTGAGAAGACAGCCAGCCCTTTGTGTTTCTGCCCGCCAGCTCCTTCAGCATTTGTAACTCTACGTTCCTGTTACAGCTTCCTCCCTCCGCCCCCGCTACCGGCAGTGGAACAAGAAGAGGAGAAGCCCCATGTCTCCCCCTTGGTCAGGCCCCATGGAGAAGGTACAGAGGCCTCCTGCCCTGCAGGGAAGGGTGCAGATACCTCCTGCCCCCCAGGGATGGTACGGAGGCCTCCTGCCCCACGGGGATGGTGCAGAGGCCTCCTGCCCTTGTATCCACATCGGGATGAGCAGGGCCGAGATCACGGTCCCGGGGGTGGGAGAAGGCTGCATGGGAAGAGGCCGGGCCTCGCTCCCTCACCTTCCTACGTGCTGCAAAGGGCAAGGTCGGCCTCTGGCACAAAAGAAGATGCTTTATTGCTGCAGGTGGAAAAGGACAGCAGTTGCTGGAATGATTTAGAGACCCTGTATCTGCAGAATGCTAAAGCAGCCTCTGCTCCACTCAAGCTCCCACCCCAGGGAGCAGGTCCTGGGCTTTCTCCCCCAGTCTCTGCTGTACAAGCAACTGAAAACAGAGTGTGAATGCAATATTAAGAGAAGTATAACAAAGTGTCACGCTCATGCCAGATAGTAACTATCTTCTAGTTTATTGATTGCAGTCAAGTTTTATTATGCCTCAAATAATTAAATACCACACCAGTGACATTAAAAATACAGGCCAATTTACCAAAATAACTGTATTCTGAAGATTATGTACATATTATACATTTTACAGTATCATGTAAACTTCTTTTTTTTTTATATATATATATATATATATATAAGGTAAATCTGATTTATGGTAACTTGAAAGCCCAAAATACTTGCTGACAAAAATATTCCTATGAAACATAAGCACTGTTTGGGACACTTAGAAAAACTGCAGAGAATGAAAACCAACTATAAAACATAATATAACTGAGTTAGTAAAAAAATTAAATTACATTCATATAAAAAGTTAAACTAAAAGTATGGTTATGCACCATTATTAAAAGAGGGAAAAAAATCCCCAACCCCTCCCCTTTTATATATTAACAAACACTTCCATGGGGAGCTACTGTGCGCCTCATTTCCAGCAATGGGGCATAGGAAATCCAGGTTCCCAATCTTCTTTTAACATATATTAAATAGCTAGGGTCTGTACCAATACATACACAGTATATATTCATGCACTGTGATTATGCTTAGAGAAGCCTACCAAAGGCCTGGTTTTTGGCAGTGGGTTTTTGCCCCTTTACATGTAGGCATGCACTGGTAGAGATGCCTGCTGTTCAAAAACCTGTGGAGGGATTTGTCTCTAGTCTCATTTGTAGACTAGCAAAAGAATAAAAATAAAATTAAAAAAAAAAATAGGAAAGAGAAATCCTACCAGATTACCTTCTCCTGCTTATTTACAAGTACAAGATGTCCTGCACCGATCATGTCAGCTCAGTTAAAACAACTTTCTCTACAGTCTCCACAAATCATGTCACTAAAGTGATATAATTACTCTCGTATGGGTAAAAATATTTTCCATTTTAACTAGGATGACCACGTTGCTCGTCCTGTAAGTCTTCATTCGTGTGATAACTGTAGTGTTTAGATTTGGCATAATGGAACTTCAAGTCTAAATCGCATTTTAGCTCACATCTCCTCAGCATACCATCATTTTCATTTTCTGCCATGCAGTGCATGTAATTGAAGTACCTAGGTACACTCATTAAAATAAATGCAATTTAAATGTATAGAAACAGCTGCTGGAAGCAGCAGCTGTTAAAATGGCTGTATTTTGAGAGCTTGTAAAACTTGCATATTTTATAACTGGTCTCCAACTATAAAAATGAAGGCCTGGTCCTGGAAATAGCTGGGTGTGTGCTTATCTCATGAGATTGTAACTACTGAGACTACCTGTGGGCCTAATGCTAAGCCTAAAACACTGCAGACTGGGCCTTGCACAGGTAGTGTTGCCAGCCCTTAGTCATGCAAGCGTGCCAGAGGACAAGGGGAGTTCAGGTGACTGATGGTGGCTGGGTTTAGGCACTAGATACCTTCCTTCAGATGCTAAATGTACCTGAAATTAGACCAACCCTGGCTTTGTCGGACTGACAAAGTGAAAGCTTATTCCAAAGCAGCCTTTTAAAAACATTCTCAGAATTATGAAACATGAGTCCTATATGATGTCTGTTCATGTACAGCTTTAATATAAAAGAAATGCTAATCTAGAGTATCAAAATATTGTATTCATATAAATGTATGAGAGCATCTAATAGAAAAGTAAAAAGTGTAAAAGGCAAACGTTTTTGGAATTAGATAGCCTAAGAGAGTTCTTTTAGATTGGGAATGTGTGTCTGACAGACAAGAGAGCTACATCTCCCCTCGTCTACGAGTTTTTGCTGCAATAGCTCCACCTTCCTCCTCTTCCTCCTCTTCTTCCTCATAATTGTCTTCACGAACTTCTTTGTGGTTGTTCTCTTCTTGCAATTCTTGCTCTTGATCCGCCCCGTTATTTTTTTCATCAGCCTGATTTTAAAAAATGAGATTCAGTGTAAATGACAGTTTTCTTCATGTTGTGGATATGAGATATGGCTATAGACAAGCTGATGGAGAGAAAAAAAAAAAAAAAAACACACACAGAAGTTTTCCAGATGTTAAAGGCTGAAAGGGCTCCAGGAAGCCTGAATCCATGCGGGGGTGGAGGGATGAACAAGAAGGAACTGGGACAGCTTGAAGTTTTAGGATCCACGATCAAAAACAAGCTACAGCAGCTGCTGTGCAGTGTCACTGCAATCCCATCACAGCTACGCTACGTCCTGTAAGTGTTGTCATGTCATTAGGTTTGTGGCTTTACACAGTACTTACATTTTCGTCATTTTCACCATATGGCTCCTCAGCGTTTCGTTCCAGTTCTCGCTTCTTTTCTTCAGTCAAGTCTTCCTGGATCTACAAAGTAGAGAAATGTTCTGCACATTTTAATTTTCTTTTAAAAGCAGCCTGTGCAAAGGCATGCACATTTACACAGCTTATATTTTCACAGAACAAAGATTCAAGCCAAGAGGTAGAGAGGGCATGGAGAGCTTAGAGGGGATGCAAAAATCCCAAGATATTCACTTGCTGGAAGCTGATGTAATTTTTAACTACAATTTTCACAAACTCTCTCATCAGCAGCTAACTCGTATTTAGATTTCATATTTAGATTTCTGTTTTAGGCATATAAGGTCATCTTCTCCTTGTCCTTTATAATGACATTGTCATAACACAGCCAAGTCATTGCTGACACTTCCACCCACTCTGGACTCCCAGGACTATGGTTCAGTTCTGATATGTGATACAGGTATTTATTCATAATTTCCTCCATATTTTCCCAGCAGTTGATTGATCCTGCCAACTGCTCCTGGAAAAATCACATAAGACCAAGGGGGTATGGAGAGTGAAGAGTAATCCCATCCAACCTTCTCCTTGATGACAGCAATCCACACTGCTCTCTTCCAGATGTTTTGGTCTTGACCTATCGTTTTTCTTTCCTAACAGCCCTTTCATTCACTTCAATGGCCCTTTACTTTTAGCTGCAAAGTGGAATGTGTCATGCTTGGTAGAAGTAAATGATGCCCTCGTGGAGAATGCCGGGCACATAGTCCCAGTGGTGTCCTGCAGGCTGGGTAAAGTGCTTCCCTGAAGCCTTATGTCCCCATGGAAAAGAGCCATTTCCTGTGGTCAGGAAGCATTTGCCACTCGCTGCTGCCACCTCCGCCTGCCCCAGCGCAGCAGATGGGGAGGATGAGACGGCTCCTCCTGACAGGAAACCCTCCCTGCACCAGCTGCTGTCACCAGCAGCAGCCAGAGCTGAATTCTCTTTCCTGTATTAATCTCCGTCAGTAGCAGAAAAGTGAGAGTTTTTCCCAATAGGAAGGAAAGCTGCTTGTGGGAGGTGTTAGGGGCTCTGCGTTGCTGCTGCAGAACAGCAGCCATCAAACCTGCATCACCTCGAGGCTTATAGAGAAAGATTTGAACAACAGCAACGTATAGTAGTGTGGCCTGCTGAAGAAACTAATTCATATAATTATAGCAAACTAACTCCCTTTGATTGCTCATTCAATTCACTGCCCATTCTTAGTATTTCCAACTTAGGGTACTGGTTGTAGGTCTTCATGAAATGCACACCAAATTATTTCCTGCAGGTCGAAGAGTAATTGCCAAGGGCAAACTATCCCTGATTTCTAATGACCTGATTTATTTAAATAACTGTATTTTGAACTGGTGAATTTCAGGACACCAGCCAATCTTGAGAAAGTGGTGTTCAAAGCTCAGTAATGAGCAGCCATTTCTCTGGCTTTGTGTAAGCCCTTATGTGTGAAGTTAGAAATAGCAGCTGGTGAGGTTTGTACTGAAGAACTGCAGGGCAGCACATGCTAGTGCCTGTCCTTTCTCCTTCAGTTCCAAGCACATGCCAACCTCTTCTCAAGTATTTCATTCCATGAAGAACAGGGTTTAAATACCTTGAGTTGCTTAGGAGGAGCACAGATGAATCAAAGTCAGAGCTCCAGAGTAAATAATGGACTGAGAAACAGCCTGCCCAGAACAGCAGCGTGTGACTAGAAATGCAAAGCTAATGAGGTTTCCAGTGACTTTTGGAGGGGTTGGGTTTTCAAAAATGTTTTCTTGAGTTGTGAGTGGCTTAATCTTTTCAATTAGTGCACAATTAATAATCAGTTACATAGATGATTGATGGATTGCAGAATACAAGCATGAACAGCACTAGAAAATGTAATTAACATTGTATCAATGGACAGCAGAGTAATGGCAAAGACTTCCTAGGTTTCTAAGAGTCAGAAACTACCATTGACAAAGTAATTTGGGTTCTTTTGCAGTTATAAAAGAGCCAAAATTGAAAATTAATGGATATCTGTTACGTTACCAGCATCCACATCTGCCTTTTGCCCATTTTCTTTCTTACCTCCTCTTCTCCCTCTTCCTGGTACTGCTCATCCACATTATCTTCTTGCTGGTCAGGATTTCCTGCCATCTGCAGAGAGATTGTGTGAACATTCAGTTCCGTTTGCTCCCTATTGATTTTACAGCTCTGTCAATTAAAGCTGTGTATTCTGGAACTAAAAACTATGCAAAGTAATAAGAATAGCATAAGAAATTATGGTGTGTTCGTTAACATTAATGTTACCCTGGCTATGCAATTTAGAACTACTTTAAATTAAAATCAAAAAAAAGCAGCAGAATGATTACAATGAAATCATTTCACAGAATAAAGCAAGATTGTCCTACTAAGCAGGAAGACAAGGAAATATTCATGCCATTAAAGACCAACGCCATAAAAATACAGATTGCCCCTGCCTAGAGGAGGTAACAGTTTAAAATGGAACTCAAGTGTGCGGAATTTGCTGGAATGTCATTGGGAGGGAAGGGAGGGCGGTGCGTGCAGCTGGCTGAGTGCTGACAGTGTGGACAGGGCACGGAGGGGATCGAGCAGACACGGGATCTGCGCGTAGGCAAACGGGGCACCCGAAGGACGGGACTGCTGAACTCGGCTGGGTGTGTGCAGCTGGCTGAGTGCTAACAGTGTGCACAGGGCACGGAGGGGATCGAGCGGAGACGGGATCTGCGCGTAGACAAACAGGGGCACCCGACGGACGGGACTGCTGAACTCGGCTGGGTGGAGGTGACGATGGATTCACAGCAGGGCATCAGCAGGAGTAATTCTGTACTTTTACCTGCTTATGTCAGGCATGTTTTTCAAAAAAGGCCGTTAAAATAAGAGCTTAGTGTCCTCCCATCAAGGTGTGCTACACTGTCTCTAAAGAGCACCTACGGGTGCTTTCTCTCACTCTACTGACCACCAGGTGCTCCTCCATGCCCGGGTGTCTCTGCTTCTCACTGTTTTCCTTGTGCTTTTCATTTTCATCGGGTAGATTTTCCTCTCTCTCTTGCTCAGCTTCCTCAAACTCATCTTCTCCTTGATTGTTGGGGTCATCGGCAGGGTTCACATCTTCCATTGCTGCCTTCTGCAGTTTTCAAAAGTGAGTATTAAATGCATGTTTTTCATCTCTCAGTTCAATTCTATTTCACTCGAAAGCGACCCTAGCACAAACTATGTTATGGACAACAGTCCAAAAGAGCTGACAGGATCTTTCAGTGCCAGTTCATCCTCCAAAATTGATGACTTCAGAATGTACAACAGCATGCAGGAAAAAGCCCCTTAAAAACAATCAGTATTTGACTTTAGGAGTGAAAAAGGAAAATCTCCCCCAAGGAACCCAACCACACCTGCCTTAGATGATATTTTCTGTGTTCCATGCCCCCAAATCAGGTAAGGGGAGTAAAGAACTGAATATCCAGTATCCAGATCTTTGAGCAATCTATATCATAACCTCGGTATGTTCAGCTATGCAGTATTATTTCTTTAAAGAACTAACACTTCTTCTAAACCGACTGTGTTTAGATCTAGTGACCACTGATGCCTGTGGAAAACTTCCCAACTGATTCAGTGGGCATCTCTGGGGTTGATTTGGTTCTTAGCCACTTTCCTAATGATATCATTAAAAAACCACTGTAACCACTCCTTTGGAATGACCACTAATTAAAGGCATGCTATTTTTTTTTGAATCCAAGTTTCCCTCTTCATGTTCTAAGTCAAAAATCTTTTATTCCATGAGAAGAGCAGATCCAAGGGAAGTAGCAATGCAACTTGCCTCTAATAATGAAGCTCCTTTTGATTTCTTCCTAAACCAGTAAGGACAACAATACCCTAGATGTCAAACTTATCTTCCCTGCAGACCTGTGATTTATCTTATTTTTGTAACATGTAATTAGGTTAGATGAGAATTATAGTTTTTAACTTCAGTAGCCAGTGCAGTTCACAGCATCTTAACACATACTCACCGACTCGTCAGCCTGCTGATTTTCTGCTTGATGTTCTGGCTCTTGCTGCTCATTTGCATTATTTTGATCATCATCTTCACCTTCATCCTGGTGCTGGTTGTCATGTTCATAAGCTGGCAAATTTGTATTATTACAACTTGTGTTACAGCACTTCCTAATTAGTCCTTTCAAGAAACTGTCTTGTCTGTGCTAGCTTCTGTACATGGCTTTAGCAGGAAGCAGCTCTTCCCAGAATAAGCAGCTTGTTTAGAACGACAATGCTAACAGAATTATTATACCAGTAGGAAACCGATACAGGAAGATTATATATTGAAGAGATCAAATCACAGACAAAGCCAGGAATGTAATAGAGATCTACAAAGCCCAATACCAGTAGCTTATTCAGCAAGACAGTTTTGAAAACGCAGGTATAATCATCAGCAATAGCTGTATTTTAGTGTGACAGCTCAGCCAGTGCTATCTGAAGTTTTGTTAGCAAAACCTGAGTTTGTGTTTCACCCGAATCCAAACTGGATGCAAAATGAACATTTAATTCTTGCACGAAAGGCAAGAAAGGGACCTGTGAACCCAGTAGGGACATAACAAATTCCATCTTACCTCCTTCTTCTTCCTGAAGACCTTGTTCTTCCTCCCCTTGTACAATATCATGATCCATGTTACCATAATGACCTTGCTGGCTGAAAAAATTAAATGCAGATATGTCATTTCAGTTTCAGAAATAACATTTCTGTTGAGAAACAAACCATCCTAGTGCATCTGCCCAAGCACCAGCCAAAAGGTGTTTCAAAATAGCTTTCTACTTATTACCTAATATTTTTCCTCCATCAACTTCCCTAAAAAAATACATCTTGTAGAACAAGACTCTTGTTCAGTATACTGTACTAAATTCTGTACTTGTATTTCCTGATATCCCCCATTTTGATATAACAACTGCCTTGTCTTATCAAAACTCCTAAACAACTAGTATGATTCATATTCAAAGTGCAAATTCTATAAACTGAAAGCAAAGAATATGGTAACCTTTCAAAGAAGGAGCCTTAAAGACAGACAACATTGATCCATGACAAGGCCCTTTTCAGCCCGCGTTGTAAAAGAGGTTTATTGTGTGATGATTCTCAAAGGGCTTAAGATTTTGATAGTAGTAATTTACAGAGAGCTCTCTGGTAACAAAAATACTTCCCAAGTATGTGTCATTGTTATCATTCTCTACTAATACTTCAGCAAAGAACATTCAGTAGGTCTAAGCATCCAAAAAAGTAGCAAAGTAGTTGCCATTGACAACTAACTGAGCAAAAGCATAAGGGAGTGTTGAAGGGAAGGGGCAAGAGGCACATGGAAGCTGCAGTAGCATCAATATAACTGCATTCACAGCAACCTCAGACACTAACAGTGTTGTGTTTTCCTGAGGAAACGGTCTTGTCTCTACCATATACCAGGAGGGCTAGTCACACTTGTCCACAAAGCCCTCAAGGAATTACTTAGAAGTCGTGTCTCATTTATGAGAAACTTTAGCCTAAGGATCTAATGCACAGCTAGGAACAGGACTCCTCACTACCCCAGGATGGCAATTGCTGCTTGGGGAGAACAGTTGCTGACTGTAAGCAAATTATCCTCTTTAGAGCCAGATTTAGGCACTTTGACTTTACTTTCCAGGTAGTCTGTGCCTATAGCATTAAACTACCCTCTCTGCACGAGGGGTATGGTGCAACCAGGAAACCCAATGCACAAACTGCGCCAGACGGATTTGAAAGTAGTTAACCTGAGTTGTTTCTTATAGAGTTTTTCTCCTTGTTCTGCCCGTTTCTGCAGCTCGAGCTCCTTCTCCTGAAGCTGCTGCTGCCGTAGCAGCTGTCCCCGCAGCCTCTGCTGGTGCAGCAGCTCCTGGTGCTCTCGTAGCTGACTGGCTTCTTCTGCTCTTCGCACTGCAAGCTGCTGCTGCTCCAGCTGCTGCTCGTAGGCTGCCTTGGGTCTTCTGGTGACAGCTTTCGTTAAAGCTGCCTGTCAGAGAAATGTGTGTAATCATAAATTAATCATAAATTAATCTAAGTTTCAATGACCAGAAACAGGAATGCACAAGAGTTTTACCAGAACTAGGGGGAAAATTATGTGGGTGCTAGATGCAATGGAGAAAACTTACAAGTAAAGCAAAGAGAACTCACTTAAGTGAGTTTTCTGAACACAGCCTTTCAAAGTTTCAGTGTTTGCACTGCCCACAATTAGACACCAATTATGCTTCTGTTGATTGAAATGGCCATTTCAGCAGGGGCTTCCTTGAGCCCCAAGCAAGGCACTGCATGTTCTTTATAGGCAGCAATATGTACCTACAGCTCCTGTATGGCAGCTTAGCCCGTGCCTGCTGTCCTACTGCACGACTTGATCACACCAGAATTATACTGTTATTCTGATACGAAAATTAGTGTTCAAAAGACCCAAAGTGAGACCAATAAAATATATTTTCCATTGGCAATCCAATCTGGAATCTAGGACTCTCCGGTTGTGTTAGGGCAGTATAAAGCAAGACTTGCCTTTGCTTGTTATTCTGATATGAAAATAGGGGTTCAAAAGACCTAAAGTGAGGCCAATAAAATATATTTTCCATTGACAATCCGATCTGGAATAGGAATCTAGGACTCTCTGGTTGTGTTAGGGCAGTATAAAGCAAGACTTGCCTTTGCTGATTCTGCCCAGATCTTCTACCTGTTTATCATTTAGAATTACCTGTCAAATGACAGTGAACATTTGGGTGGAAAGACATGAAGGAAGGTAGATATGTTTGAATGGGAAGCATTCAACAATTCACAGGGGGTGCCAAATGAATGACCCAGGACAGCTCTCCATGAAAGCACAGGTCCCATTCTCACCAGCCATGGTCTTCCCATCAGCTACCCAGACATCAAACTTCAGGTAGGAGGTGGGATTCAGTCTGGCTGCTCTTTTTTTCCATCTGGTGCTTTTTATCGCAGAATTAATGTTTCTTAAATAGCTCCATTTGGCAAGCCCTGCAGTGAGCATGTGCTTAGCCTGAGTCCTATGCACCTACGAGTTGTGCTTGAATCCCAAACTTTCTGTAAACATGACACTGATTTTATGTAAAAATAGGTGACAACAAGACAGAGCCAGCAGTGGCTGAGGTAAACAACAAATGTAATCCATTAATAGAAAACAGCTCTGTACCTCTGGATGGTAACGTTCACCCAACATGTTGGTTTCTTCCTCTTTCTGTTCCTGTTTTTTCCACTCGTGTTCTTCTGCTACTTGATCCTGTTCCTCCTCTAAGTGCTCGGGCTGACCTGCCTGCTCCATTTCTTCCTCTTCAAGTTCTTTCTTACGTTCCTCTTCAACTTGATCAACACGTTGCTCTTCATCCTCTCCTGCTTCTTGTTGCTCCTGAATATTTAGTTCTTTGGCACGGTGGCCCTCATGAGTCCCTTTCCTCAGATGAAAACCCTCTGCATCCTCTTCTTTCTCCTGGGTGTTTATTTCTTCTTTCACTTTTGGCTTCTCACTCTGCAAAACACATTCAAGAGCAAAAAATATTATAGATTCTATGTTTTCAAGAGACCTAAGGACCAGATACAGATACCTTTATTGTTCCCGAGTACAATTTTACCACCGCAAGGAAAGCCAAATGTCTGCTTTGGAACAAGATATCCTTCTTGCCAAGGGATATCAATATCTGGCTCCTGGCCCTGTGCAACTAAGCAACATGTTGCACAACAGAATGATAAAATAACTTAAGCCTCTTTTCATCTGAAGTGGAACTATTACAACTCCATCCACAAAGAATACTTACATTTTTATTTACTGTGGGCTTTACTGGCTAACACTTCTTGTAAAATAAAAGTACAACTGACACTGTCACCTCTAGACTTCATACATAGTATTTTTTCTTTTTGGGCATCAGATAAAGTTAATATATTTAAAACTGGCATATTAAGACTGCCACTGAAACTTTATAAAGCAAGCAAAAAGACGGTTTATACGGGTCTTATTTAAGCTTTCCTGTATAGTTAGGATACCTAAAATTTTCAAGACTGTATATCATTCCAAAGTTTAAGATTTGTGTAAGCTCTTCTCTAAGAAGTCCCTAAAAATCAGTCTGAAGGACATTTACAGCCATCACTGACATATTTTTATACTATGAAGCAGTGAAGTGTTCCTCACTGCTTCAGAGCTGATAAATGCGTGCTGTTATGCACATGCTTCTAATGGAAATTAAGGGTGCAATAATTAATTGTGCTGAATCAGAACCCGGTTCTCGTGGCTTCGGCAGCCAGGCAGTTCTGTGGAGCGTATCCTTCAGCTGTTTGTATTCCTCCACCTGGGACTGAAGCCAACACACGTTAATTATACTGCATCCAAACAATCTTCCCAGTTAAACGTAGGCACCACAGAGTGAAGTTGCTGCCAAAACAGATACCAGAAATGCTTGATACTCAGAGCAAACACCAAGGTGGAGAAGAGGTGCGAGGCTGTAAGAGTGGCTGTTTCCATGCACTACAGAGCACTGATTCATCACAATCTGTTCAGCCAAAGTGCACATGCATACAAGTATACTGGGGAAAAAAGAGACAAAGATGAAGATTTGTTATTTTCATGTCAGCAGAATGATTGTCAAAAGAGGATTATGCTTTTTTCTCTGTAGACTTTAAAAAGTTAGGGAAACTGAGCAACACAGCTCTCCTTTATCAGTAGGGAGAAGAATAAAAAAGGAAAAAAGCAGTGTTTTTAGAAACAGCAGTCAAATTTTTAAGTAAATAAGCATATATAACATGTCATGAAAATGCCAAATCCTCAACATTTAGACAGATGTTACAGAAGACAATAGTCAAGATACAGAACTGAGGGAAAGGAAGTCATAGAACACCTTCAGTGAAGAGCAGGAAAAAAGAGGAAAGCTGAATTTCTTTGGTCTTCCTAAAACACAACAACAGGATGTTGTAAATTGATTTGCTGTTTAACCCTGTACGAGATCAGGATATTTTCAACAAGGTTTCATGACTAGTGTGAGAAGCAAGACTGGTTGCTGTCCATTTGCAAGTCACTGTCTACAGAGTGGACAAGAAAGAGGAATTGTCTCAAAGAAAAATTCTAGAAAAAAGACAGGATTTATAGAAAAGCTGCTCCACTGACCACATACCAAATGTGATGGCCCACAGCTGCTACTTCAGTAGGGGCAGGGGATAAAAGAAAAACTAACTCATAGTCGTACAGCAGGGAAAAGTAATGGTTTACTCTCCATTTTGAAGTCAGAGAGACATTTCATATTCATATATTTTTTTAAATATATCAATGTGTGTGCACACAGACATACGTATATGTATTTTTGGATTCGGGTTACAAACAGGCTGAGGTTCACCCCCAGTGGCTGCACAGACCATCTGTGTCTGTCTGTGGCACCAGAGCAGTCCATAGTGCAGCAGACAGGCACGGTGCCTTGATGTCCAGTGCCAAGGGCTCCTACAAAACAAGACCCCCAGCGCTACGGACTGACAGGATGAGAGGGGCTGCGAAGCCAGACGCACCTCGGAGCCTCTTCAAAACACTAGGGCATCCATTACAACAGACAGGCCTAAAAGCAAAGCAGAATGCAGAACAGTTACACTCGTCCTGCCAGAGGGAGAGACAACAAGCAGAACGTGAGGAGAAGATCCGGTCCTTTAAAAGCTGCTTGTGACTTTGTGGTCCTTGGAAACACTTGAATGAAAAAGGGAGTCAGGAAAGGCAGCCCGACGCTGCCTGTTGCTTTTCCTCTGTCCATTCCCTGACAGTTTCTTTGCTCCAACACAACTCTTGATTTTGGGTTCCCTGTGGCCTACACAGCTTGTACTGGTGCAGCTGGCCAAACCTACATGAGCTTCCCAAGGCTTTACATATAGTTCCCTAGAGCTTAATATATAGTTCTTCAAAAGCATCATTTAAGAAAGGCAGTGCTGCTACTCCTTTTTAGCTAATTTGAGTTTCACCTCGTGTTTACTTTCCTCCCTTTATACTCCTGCCTCTGTTGCACTGATGTCTAATAGCTTTATAGCTTCTAGGCATATCTAGAACGAGCCTATCATATATCACAATTCATGTCCAAGTGATCCATCTGAGTATGGAAGTTCTAGCAGAGAAGACAGAAAGAGAGAGGTACTCAGCATCTCTCCTGGAGGGAGAGATACTGCTCATAGCAGTAACACATGCACACTTTGGCCTACATTACAGTTTGCATTTTCTGATAGCCCTAGAATTTGCTGCTGCTTCTTTGTAAGAGCAACCCTGTAACTCATGCATTTTTCTGGAGTGTGCAGCGTGGTGCTCCCTGCAGCTTCCCATGCGAAAGGCTCCATGCATCACATTCTAGTCAGCTGAACTTGGAGAAAGGAGTTTCAGGAAGGTTAGAGCTGGCGCGAGCTGCTTTCCCTTCTGACCTGCGCTGCAGCTAGAGCACTCTTGTGGTCTTCCAGCGTCACTACAAGCTGGTTGTGTTGGGACAGTAAGTTCTTATGCTGTTGCTATACAAAAAGAAGAACATCAAATATTTCACAGTAAGTCCGTTCTGAAGGCAAATCCAGTAGCCTGTGGGGTTTTGGGACTTTCAAGATATATTTCTATTTATCTCAAAAATGAATTCCGGGTAGTTACAGGTCTTAGATATTCAACATGAAACACACATTAAATCCAAATCAGAGAAAGTGAGCAATGCAAGCAAACATAATTTAAAATGCCAGAATTTAAAAGTTAGAGGCTGGAGTACATGTTGATAAATGTTTAAAATGATAGAGATAGAAAGTATTCATTCTGATGATAAACTTTGTTTTAACCTTTTCTTTTATTGCAAAGTCCATTTTCCAATCCATATAGTAAATGTTTCTCCTTCAGTTTAGGCTTTTTTCCCCTCAGGGATTGAGGGAGACAGGGAGAAGGAGCAGAATTAACTAGAATGCAAGTGGCAGAAGACAGGAAATCCAGTTAAGCCGTTTTCTCCTCTCTTCTGCCATCACAGAGGATATGCAAGTTCCTGTCATAGTCCATTTCCAGCTTGTTAAAACTTGAACTTTAAGACCATGAAGGAAAAAAAAAAATCCCTCCTTCAAAGCAAAGCCTACCTTGACATCTTGTAGCTGAGTGTGAACATCTTGGTGAGCTTTTCTCAGCTGTCTGTTCTCTTCTCGTAAATTATAGAGTGATTCTGTTTGAAAGAAGGACAGGGAAGCTGAACCTCGGACTGTTAACACTGGGTAAAGCACGAAAATTAAGATTACAATATCAACTGCATAATATACTGCACAATTGCTATAGTAAAGCCAGATCAGAGCAATTGCAGAGTCTGTTTATATTGTATCTCTACCCACTCTGGAAAAAGCTTTACCTTTCCAAGAAGGCGGCTCTGAAATGCCATTAAATTTTAGCTTGGTGCATGCAAGCGTGCAACTGGAATAGGGCGTTATGGTTCACACTGGGCAGGTGGCAATTGGAAAGTTTAAAACGAAGAGAGGAGCCCCTTTTCTCTTCCCCCACACTGCACCTGGCGAGGGACATTGCTGTTGTGCAGAACCAAGCAAGTCTCACCAAGGAGGTGTCCTGATGCCCAGCCTACCCCAACAGCTTCACCCACGGGGGCTGGACAGAGGGGCTTCCTTCCCACCTCTTACACTGCACGCACACGAGCAAACCCAAGACAGCAAATCACAACACCTCTGTCTGCAAAATGCCCTGCTGCGAGTCTGCAGAGCTCCCAAATCCCCAGTGCCATGGAAAGCCTCGCTCTTCTGCTCTATGCAATTCTGCAACTAGGATTTAAAAGTCTTGCGTACTGTAAAGAAACTCTGTAACAGGAAATCAGATGCTAAAAGGACAAATCGTATTATACGTCATCCTCTGAGTACAGTGATGTAATGTGTTTCAGAGAAACTGAAAAGTAGGATATGAAACATATGCAAAATCACTTCATAAAGAGGCACAATTAAAATTAAATCTGTAATAGATTTAATAGAAGCTTCAAATATTCTTTTTTTTCCTCTTTCAAATTAAAGACATGCAGAAAACCTATTTTTTCAATTTTTAAACTAGTCTTAGAGCAAAAAATGAAGGGTAAAATCAACCACACTAAGATTTAACAGACTTAAGTGGTATGTTTCTTACCGCCTCCCTAATCTAAAGAGAAATACAAAGCACATATTTGAAAGTAAAATGAGGAGATTTGAGAAAAAGAGACCACAGAAAATCGTCAAGGAAAACACATCTTATCAGCATATGCTCTGTGTGAATGTCCTGCTACCGAGAACAGAGAAAAGGCTCTTCTGTCTCATATCACACATCTCCTGATATTGGTAATTTTAAAATGCAGTATCAGATGTACATTTTAATATGGGCAGCCAAATACAGCTTGCATATACCCTTCAGCTTAGAAATTTCCTGCTCTTTTTCTTGCTGCAGTTGTAAATATCGCTCCTTGTGATCACTGAACGTTCTGCTAAACTCTTCTCCTTGTTTTCGGTGATCTTCCTCCAGGTCAGCATGCTGTTTTTTTAGCTCTTCATGTTGACTCTGCAAATACCAAAGTTGGACACTGGAAAAACGTTCTGCATCTGCATATCTGGCTAATACTGTCTTTGGCAATTTGTTAAATACGTCCAGATGAATCGAAAGCATTCACAGCAAGTAGTTTGTTATTCAAAGCACGCATGTTACAGATCCTCTCCTGCACAAAGTCATCTCTGTGACGGGTAGTCTCCTCTTCTGAGGCTACGTTATCTCACCTGGCAGTTGTGCTCTCCCCCTGGGAACAGCTGAACACGTCTCAAATTCCTGACATGCCAAACTATGCAGAGCCTGGTAAACAAGTGTTCCATGCAAGTAACTGCATTTGAAAGGATTAAATAACCCACTGGAAAACACAGCTAGTAAAAACTGCTTGAGTTTTTACTCCTCCTCCTTTTGTAAAAGGAAAGTACCATGTTCTGACATTCTGGAATAAACGACCAGCAGGCAGTGAGAGCACATCCCCTCGGAAGGGCAGAACCCCCGTGTCCGCTGGAGCTCCACATCCAGGCACCCACCTTGAGCATCTGGTGCTGCACGCTCAGCGCGCTGTAGCGGCTGTTGGAGTCTTGCTGTGAAATGAAAACACCAGCGTCATTAGAATGACCCTGTGGCACCCCTAATGTCTGCACGTGCACTTATTTCAGAACCACAAAGGGGTTGTAACACCCCCTGGTTATAGCTTATCCCACCCACCACCTCAGCACCTGGGAAATTAAAGTTTGAGCTACCATATCATGAACTATTTCTTATTACAGTTGAAAGCATTAGGATATTCAATTAGCACTTTGTGAAACTGCCCCCTTTGAACAGTTCTAATTTCAAAGCAATTATTGTTTTTTCTTGCAACTCGAATAACATCCAGTATTAAAAAATGACACCAAGAAAAACAACTTACCCTTCCTTTATTTAGGGTTTCCTGTGCTTCAAGTTTATAAACAAGAAAATCTACAACATAATGGGGAAAGCCAGGAAAGTTAGAGTCTGTACAGAAATAACATGACATTAACTATTAGACATGCAAATTCCCTTAGAGATGAACATTTATGTGGTTACAACTTCTCCCAAAAATGATTAAAAAATGATCAGATGAATTTAACCTAATACTCAAAACTTTTGACAAGATAGTTTAATACAAAACTAGGCTAAAGTCTTAGGAATATATTCTAAATCTTAGTGTGAGATATAGACAAAAAGGCTCAGGATGACATGGGGTAATTAAATCTATTATGGAAGTTCTCTTGGTAGAAGCCCAGTAGTACAGTTCGACAGGAAAGAACATTGATAAGCTTCTATTTTACTTTCTTAAGACAATAAAAATATATACTTGGAATGAAAAAAGATTGCAAGGCAAAACTAAGTTTGAAAAAAAAAATTAAATCCCCTTTTTTCTTTTTTAATCTATCTCAGAATTTGCAAATGACTCACCTTTGTGTAACTATAGATGACTGTCACTAGATGGCACCAGAAAGTTATTTTAGAACTGTAGGTTTCTTTTAAATATATATAAATAAATAAATATAAATATAAATATATACATTCTTTTTTTCCTTAGCCTTTGCTAGATTAGCTGTTTTAATTCAAAGGCTGAGTCATCAACTTTGGGAATAATGAAGAATTTACTCGGAAAGTTGCAGAGAATTGAGAACAACAAAAATCATTGGGAAAGCTCAAAAGATTTTACTCTGCAAAAAAATTAATGTGTGGAACGTATGAAAAGATCCTGTTATCGTTACAAGCTTTATTTTTTTAGCATGATCTCAGAACACAATTTGCACATGCCAGTACCCCAGATGCATGGTTGGGTGCATGTACAGCTACCTATCATGCACTCTGCTATCCTACACAATGTTTAATTTAATTTTTTAATTTTGATTTTTTAAAAAAGAATGTGTTTTGTTTTAAAATATTCAAGTTGTTGAAACAAAAAGCATGTTTTACCTTCTTTTGCTTTCTTATGTTCCAGCCTTTCCTTTTGTAATGACTTCTCTAATCTTGACCTGTGCTCATATACAACTGAAAAGAGAAAAATTTGTACACAATTTATCATTTAAAGAAGTAATACGTGGTTAAAAAGAAACCCCCCTCAATCCCCCTCCCCAGCAAAGCCGAAGGACAAGGGCCCAGAACACACCAGGAACGAGGTGCTGGGGCACAGGCCCCTTGGCACCGCTGGGACCCTGGTGCTGCCTTCCCCATCCTGGTGCTGGTCCCAAGCTGGGGGTCCCTCCCATCCCTGGGCATGGAGCACAACAAGCAGGAACGCTCGTCCTCCCACTACGGACTTGGCTGGTTATGAGCACCTACACCCCGTCCACCACGTCCCCTTCCAGCGCCGCTGCGCACATGCACATTTTCTTGTGCTTTCATCCTCTTTGCAAGGAGATGGGAACGATCTCCCGTTGGGAGCGCTCTGGAGTGAATCCCTGCCAGGGAGGAGGTCGGGACGCACGAGAGCAGGTCACATCGGAGAGGAGGGCTGCCACAGCAGACAGGCTCCTTAGTCTGACACAAGGAAAACCTCAGAGCAATTCTCAAATTCTTCTCAGAACTTGGACAACTCAGTTTGAGGCTCGTTTCTCCTCGGTAGAGCCAGGACAGCGGTCTCCTTTGCCAAATGGTGTTGCTGAAGACCAACACGCTGCTGAACGGGCAGCTTTCGAAGCTGAACTAGCGGCAGGGGGTCTGTACAGCACCTTGGGCAAAGGCAGCAGGGATTTCAGGCCCAGCACTCATCGTACACCGCAAGCGTTCAACACACCAAACAACAGTAGCCATGCAGTGCACCACGCTCTCCTCCACCAGAACGACCTACTGGAAGAAAAAAGCTACTGCTGTTTTGCAAAGAGACTCCGAGATTTTTGGGCTAGGAATGAGTGGCAGCAATGCTCCCTCTTAAAAAAGACCTACTGAAAGTTATACCCAAGGTGGTGCAGGCACCCGCATGTAACCCAGTGCCATGGGAATCGGGTGAATGAAGAGGCTCCCTGCAGCTCCAAGGTCATCGTGTCCCCAGACACAGCTGCCAGATTGCCTCTGGTTTTGTATCGGAGCAGGGGAAAAGAGATCTCCACGGTGGTAAACTCCAATAGCGGCTTCAAACAAGAAGGAAAACTTAAAAAACAAAGTCCAGCCAACCCTCTAAGTTGCCAGAATAACCTTTTTCTAAGTTTTCACCTTATGACAAACTTTGCATTTTGAGCTTCTGCTCTCTCGGAAGAGATGGAGAACATCCCTCCTTTACCCTTTCCTCAGCACTCACCATACTGAAGGGTCATTCTCTCAATTTCCTTCTTAAATGTGCAAAGGAGAGATACCAATTTAAATTCCCAAGAATGTCTAATTACATTAGCTTGAGCTCAGCTGCACATAAACACCTTTCCCTGTCCAAATTTCAGTTTGCCAGCACACTCTGAAGAGCAGCTGATACAAGTTAATGGATCATACAAGTTTTCCATTAAAAATAGGAAACCCATTTTCTGAAGATTAAAACATTGATGAGGAAAGGCCTTTAAAAGGAAGATACAAATCATTATTTGATGTTTGGCAGCCACAGAAAACTTCCTTTAGCGGTTTAAAACCTGTTCTCAATTGCACTCAGATGTATTCTGGAGGTTCTTTAGCTACTGATTTACCTAGAGGCTGAAGTGCTCATCAGTTCCTGCCGCCCACCTCTACTTTGTGATTTATTGTCTAGAAGTCAAGGGCAGCAGTCTGGATGAGCTATATATCCTATATATATATATATATACACATTATAGGATATATATATA